GGCCATGTCTGAGGGGCATCTTCTTGATGAGTGATGTGGGAGGGCCCAGCCCACTGTGGGTGGTGCCGCCCCTGGGCAGGTGGGCCTGCGTTGTTGCATAAGAAAGCAGGCTGAGCAGGGGCCAGGGGAGCAAGCCTGTAAGCAGTGTTCCTCCATGGCCTGTGTTCCAGCTCCTGCCTCCAGGTTCCTGCCCTGAGTTCCTACCTTGGGCTCCCTGATGAACTGCGACCTGGGAGATGTAAGACAAATAAACCCTTTCCTACCAAAGGTGGTATTGGTCAGTGTTTTGTCCCAGCAATGAAGAAAGAAACCAGGACAGGAGGGATTGATTCTGTACTCAACTATATTTCCTGTGTACATTGCAAGTTATGGTGGACAGAATTCTGTCTCTTGTTTACAAATGCTTTAAGGAATTCTGTGCTGGAGTATAGCTGCCTGTTGAGCACTTGCCTAGCACGTGCAAGATCTTAGGTTCAATTCCCAGCACCAAATAAATGATTAAATTCAATAAATGATTACTCAGATTGAGCATCTTTAATCTAAAAACTTCAAGTCCAGAATGTTCCGAAATCTGAGTGTCTGAGCACCAAGTGGAAAAATCTCATACTGACCTGAGGCCGAGATCATAATGTAGAAGATAATTTTAAAATTTGCATAGAATTACCTTCAAGCTATGTATATGAAATTCATGAGGGCTGGTGAGATGGCTCAGCAGGTAAAGGCCCTAGCTGTGCAAGCCTAATGACCTGAGTTCAATCCCTGGAACCTACATGGTGGAGAGACACAACCGTCTCCCGAAAGCTGTCTTCTGGCCTCCGTGCACGCACTGTGGCACACACATGCCTGCACTCATACATGTGTATCTCATACACACACAATAAAAACATTTAAAAATTAAAGAATAAAGTGCATAGAAGCACATATGAATTTAATGTTTAGACTTGATCCCATCCTCAGAATACCTCCTTACGTATATGCAAATTCCAGAATCTGGAAACCATCTGAAATTCAAAACATTTCTAGTCTTGAGCATTTCAGGTAAGGACACTCAGTGTCTATATGATATGTCCATGATTCTTTATATGCCTATGGTCTGTATGTAATTTGTTGTAATTAGATCACTCTGAATTTGTATTTTCTTCATAAAACTTAGTTTACTTTTCCTTCTTGGCTGCCGTAGTCCACCTCAGCAACTCGAGGCTGGCTTCTTCCATGTGCACTGAAGCAGCAGTGTGCAGCAAGGAACAAGTCATGTCTGTGGTGAGCACCTCCTTCTGCTGGGACTAGAATTAGGGGCCCATGAGGCCTGCGGACACGGTAAAAGAGTCCTGATCAGTAAGCTCCCATGAGCCACCGGTCCCTCAGTCTCCACTTAGCTAAGATGGGCAGGCAGATCACAGGAGAGGCCCTATGCAGCCTGGTCTGAGTCTGAGTCCTACATGGCTGATAGGCCGGTGACATGTGACTAGGGAGACACAGGACTGGACTGACCAGTTCTGTTAGCTTTCAGTAATTTAGATTTAAAACTGATACTTAATGCGGTTACTAGGAAACCTAGGACAATCATATATTAATCTACTTCTTAACTCTAAATAGCATGAAATCATAAATTCCATTAAAAAGTAATAAAAATTGACTGACTGAATTGAATTGTAACTGTAAAACACATCTAGCAACAAAGGCTTTATATGGAGCAAAGAATGAAAAGTTCCTCATTCAGAATTTTTACATTGGCTGGTGATGGTGGTATATACCTGTAATCACCCTACTTTAGAGTAGCGTGCAAGTTTGAGGCCTAAAGAGACTATATGGTAAGTCATTGCCTCAAAAAAAATTAACATTATATATTACTGTGATAATGTTTTATATTTATCAAGTTAATTTTTTAAAAATATTTTTGAGACAGGGTCTCCCTGTAGCCCCAGCCATCCTGGAACTCGCTATGTAGTCCAGGTTGGCCTCAAACTCACAGAGATCTGCCTGCCTCTGCTTCCCAAGTGCTGGAATTAAAGGCATGCACCACCAAGCCCACCCGGCTGATATAGTGTTAAAGTTAATTCTGGTTTTTTGTTTTTGTTTTTAAAACTGGTTGGCAGCAAGTGTAAACTCCCCTGTATCACTTGAACTACATACAGAATTATTGTGTTCCAAGTTAGGCCCTAAAATCATCAGTAAGAAGGTATCAAATTCACTTTGAGGAAGTGCAGGGTTCCACAGAGTTAAAGAGGTGTCTTGGCTGCCGGGCACTGTCTAAGCTGCATCTGCAGCTAAGATCAGCTAAGATCAGTTCCAAGCAGGA